ATTTTTTTTTTTTTTTTTTTTTTTTTGGAAGAGTCGTTTTGATTTTCCCCCCGGTGAGGGGCACGGATTTGGGCATATTTGCACATCTCGGAATCCAGATGCACAGGCAGTTACTTTGTCTTTTTCCGCTCACTTGGATTTTGTGGGCAGCCCTATTTCTTGCCACGCGTCACATGCCCTCACCCGTTTTTTTTTTTTTTTTAACCAAAAACATTCTTTATATTATTTCAACCAAGAGGAGAGGCCGGGGACCTCACAATTCAACCCGAAGTTATCCCGGCAGCATCAGCTGGTTTAGCTTAATGGAATATCTTTTACAGACTACACTAATGCACTAGCAACTAAAAATAGAAACAACTCCCTCTAACTACTGGACTTACTACACAGTCATCAGGACTGCACACTTTTAAACTTTAACCTTCAACCCAGAATCAATGGAAAGAACCACGACCAACAATTGCTTATCAGTTTTTTTCCACAGATAGCACTCAACCGTCACTAACTTATCTAAGACTACTGAATTACAGACCTACTGCTACCATACTCATGGGACTACCAAACCTAACAAAACACGAAACTAGCCTACTACTAAAATACTCCCACCTAACGAAAACTACTCTACTGGAAATACACAGGCCTAAAACCGGCCTGACACCGGCCTAAAGCGACCGATTGGAACTACAGTTCCCAGTCTCCAACGGCACTCTCACTCCCACCCACCCTGCTTGACCTACTGTGGCCCGAACCAAGAACCGAGCTGCCCTGGTTCACCAGTCACTACCCCACTATCCCTGTAACCAACGACACACTATTAAACCCTTCTCCCGATGTACACCAGCCAGCCTGTTCCTGATAGCCCACGTCCGCAAGAACCACCAAAGTTCCCTCCTTGGGGCCTTTCCGCACTTCGCCCTTGAGCGCCAATCAGCCCAAATTGCTCTACGCAGGCCTCTTTTGATTGCCAGCTTAATCTCGGGGTCTGCCATCGGCCGACCATCGAACCGGGCCCGATTCCTATCTGCCCAGATAACTGAGCAGATAACTGCCCTTACTACATGAGCCACATAAGACCAACCACACTTCCCTGTTTTGTCCTTCTCCACAAATCCCAGGAGGACCCAATGCTCGTCCCATATCACATCCTCCCCTCCAAATTGTTGCCAGTGGTCTGCCCACCAGGCCCAGATACGCCTGGAGGCCGGGCAGTCCCACCATAAATGTTTAGTTGATTCGAACAGCCAAGTGCACCTCGAACAACGCAGGGGGACCTCCATACCTCTACTATTGAGCCAGACTGCCGAGGGGGAAATAAATAACGAGATTAGCCAGAGAATACTCACCTGTTTCCGATCCGGAAAAGCACCCTCCACAGCTCCTCAAAGTCTTCTGTGCAGTCCTGGAGATCTAACTGCAATACCGCACTCCACCTAGCTGCTGCCACCGCTGCTGGGGTTCTCGATTGATTTCTCGTCATCTTATACGATTCCTGGGTCGAAAAGGAGACCAGGTCATAGCAGGCCGGAGAAGTTGTAGAAGGCCTGCCTTGACTCCAGCCCCATGCCCTGGGATCAATTGGCAATGAGCACAGAGGAGCATTACCCACCCAGACCACCGAATCCAGAAGATTCCTTCCATCACGATATTCAACTACCCGGATCTGGGGAGGGTTTTGCCATACTGAGATCTCCTTCTCTCCCAGCAGCTGAAGCTTACCTGTGGGGCCAACTCTCTTCCACTCCTGTACCTTCCTAAAGCCGCTCTCCGACAGGCCCTGCAGCTTCCACACTACATCCTGAGGCTGTTCGTTCACCGGAGCATACCAGGTCCCTGGAGGGTCTAAACCCTCTGGGCCTAGTAGGGCTTGCCAATCTGATAGGATAACCTGAAGGAGCGTCCTCCAATTTTCCTCCACTCTCCTCAGCCCATAAAGTGGTAGCCGAAACTCCTCGAGAGGTTTCCACCCACCCAACAGGTCGGACCACAGATCCGAAATCCTCAGAACACCTCTCCTTATCCACGATCGCCCAAAGGCCCCTGCTTCCGGACCAGCTGAGAACTGTACGCCATCGTTGTTCAAAATAAAAGGGTTCTCAAATAAAGTCTGCACTAGAACTTCCTGTTTTGTAACAGGTGGCGTTCTGACATCAGGAAGCTGCTTGGCCCAGGCCCGGCGGATAGGATCCTTGAATTCTGATCGCAGCTTCTTCCGCAAAAAGGAGCTCATAAAAAACAGGGCCATACATCGTCTCCTCTGCTCAACTGCCATTCTCGTTGGAGGCGGCGTTCCGCAAGAAAAACCCAGTCTTCTTTTTCTTCCGCCATCGCCACATTGGCTAACCATTTCCGAAGCTGGGCCTGGTTCCTCCTTTGAGGATCAATCAACCCCAAACCACCCTGTTCTCTTGGAAAGGTAGCCAGGTCCCATGCCAGTTTACTCACAAAACCTTCCTGCCCCTTCGCTCTTGGTTTCCACACGAACCTCGCCGCCAATCTTCTTACTTGCGAAAGTGTGCTTCCGGTGATCTCTCTTACTGCTCCCACAAAACCAACTAGGGAGAACAGTGCTATGTTCACAACCATAGCTCTGCCAAATAAGGACAGATGTCCGGCAAATCCCCAAGACTGAATCTTAGACACCACCTTTTGCTGCAGCACCGCCCCCTGGGCCATTCCCATTGACTGAGTGCTAACCAACACTCCTAGGAACCGTTCCCCTTTCTCCGGGTCCACCCTAACCATACCCCATTCCACACACAGCGCGAAGGCCTGCGGAAGGAGGTAAACAGACTTATTCCAGTTCACCAAAGCCTCAGAAAGTTGTGAGTATTCAGCTAGTACCTCCTTCACGGCCAGCATAGATTCCAGCGAGTTATCAGATATCACGAAGAGATCATCCGCCAGAGCTTTAACTCTGCATTCCCTACTAGGGGAGATCCGTAGGCCCCGGATACGTGGGTGTTTCCGAAACCGATTCAATTGGACTTCAAGCTGCAGAACGAATGAGAGGGGGGCTAGCGGACAGCCTTGCCTGAGGGAGCGAGAGAGGTGGAAGGCTTCCGATAAATGGCCGTTGACCTGAACAGCAGATTTGGCTGTAGTGTACATTGCCACCACCCATTTGCAGAAGCACGGGCCAAATCCCATCTTCCTCAAAGTAGTCAACACGAACGGCCAGCCGACTCTGTTATACGCCTTCTCCATGTCTAACAGGAGAACGGCCATATTCAGATTTTCCTCCCTTAAGACCTCAATACTCTCAATAGTTGTCAAGATGTTGATAAAGATCGACCTCCCTTGAACAAAAGCTCCCTGATCGCGTTCCACCAACTTCGGCAAAATCTTACCCAAACGCAGCGCTAGAGCCTTTGCCAGCAACTTGTAGCTCACATTCAGCACTGAGATGGGCCGATAGTTCCGAATAGAAGCTTTGTCCCCTTTCTTGAACAGCACCGAGATCACCCCGAAAGTCATCAGTTCCCCCAAGTTCTCTTCGATCAACACCTTGTTATAAACCTCCACCAGGGGAGGACCCACCGCATCCCAACAGTTTCGATAAAACTCCACCGTCAGGCCATCCCTTCCCGGGCACTTCCCAGCAGCCATTACCGCCAACGTATGCTGTAGTTCCTCCAATGTGAATGGTCGGTCTAGGCTTAAGCAATCGGTTGCTGACAAGGATCTGTCTGTGTCTTCCCACATGTCAAGCTCGCTAGAAAGATCAGCATCCACCTCCTCCCTTGGCCTTCTTGACGTCAAAATATCAGAATAATACATTTTGGCATATTCCAAGATACCTGTTGGAGAGCTGACCGATGGTGCCGAAGCGTCGAAAGGATGATTGAGCTGCACGACTTGATGGAAGGAATAACTGGGTAGCAACTTCTGAAAATTCTCCTTTGAGAGTTTGTCTTGTACAATAATACCTTTGATTCTCAGATATTCCTCCCATCTAGCTGTAGTTTCTCCCACTCTGCCAACCTTTTCTCCCTCTCAACTGCCCAGACCAGCTCAGATATAGGGTGTTCTTCCAACTTCCTTTCTGCCTCCTCAACCCTCTTCCTGCACCGGTCCTCCTCCTTATTTCTATCCTTCGCAAGGATCCTAGAACAGACATTAAGCATACCTGACATAATAGCTGTCCCTCCATCCAACCATTCTGCAGCAGTCTTAAAGTCCCCTCTCGCAGATTGCCATCTGTCCATATGATTAGCTACCCAGGACTTTAGCCCTGCATCCTCCAAATTTCTGGAATTCAACTTAAAATACCCTCGCCCCCTTTCTTCTGACTGAGTTAACACAATATCTGCCAGCACTGGTCTATGGTCCGACATTGGATGTGACACCTGCCTCACCGCGTCACCGCCTGTTGTAAACTGCTTCCCACCAAAAAATAATCAAGCCTCCTTCTAGATACCTCCCCAGTACCTGGTTTGATGTTTGAAAACCAGGTAAAACCCGCTTCATCCGGGTTAAGCAACCGGAATGAATCAGAGAGTTCCAATTCATGCATCAGATCTAGAAGTGCCATCGCATCCTTCCTCCCCGCTGTAGGGGAGCCCTCTCGCACGGCCTCATCTAACGAAACGTTCCAGTCACCGGTAATAACCAGATTGCAGGTGGTTGGAACGACCGTCCTTAGCTCAGCGAAAAAGGCCGCTCTTGAGGTGGAGTCCGAAGGAGCATATACTGTCAAAAGCGTCCATTCCACAGACCCTGTAAGCAGCCGCACCCAAGCCCAACGGCCCCATAAGTCCACCTCTGAATCCAGAATCTGAGACCGTCCATTCCTGTGCAGCAAAATTCCCACTCCCCCTCGAGACCCCTGGGCCGGGGACCACACTTGTGGCCCGTCCCACCAACGCGGCATCTTCCCCAGCTTATCCTCATCCAACTTGGACTCCTGCACGCATAGGCAGTCCACTTTCTGGTCAAACATCCACTTCTTAATCCTCTTCCTTTTTTCCTTCCCGGAGTTATCCACTAGGCCCCTCACGTTCCAGGTTGCCAGGAGCAGCTTAACCATGGGAGTGGGCTTCGCCCGCTGAAGATTGGATGCGGGATACAGGCTGGTCATCACCCCATCTCGGGTGACCTTGTGCAGGAGACTGCTGCATTCCACTTCCTCTTGCTGAGCCTTGAGACTGAGCAGACGGGGCTCCAGATCTCCAGCCAGCCACCAAGGACTTCCTCACAAATCTTGAGTGCAGATTTTTTTCCACAGGCAAGGACTGATTGAGTTGGAGTAGGAGCAGAGCCGAGACATCCTGTGATAGTGCAATAGTTTTCAGTTCGTGGTTGTTCTGTTCCGTTATTCCATCTAACTTGAACCATCGGACCCCTGCTTGGAACACCGCATCGGCCATGGGGGCTCCAATCCGAGCATCGAGCAGGGGGAAATAGAACTTCGCTGTACAGTTATCCAACGGGACTTGACAGTTAGCCATCACCGAGCTAGGCATAAGCCGCATCGGGAAAGCATCCCCAAAAAGAAAACTTCGCCCTTGTCACGATCTCTCCCGGCAGAGGAGTCCTGTCGGTAGGTACTGAGGGCAGCTGCAAACTCCCGTCTGAGCACATTTTCCCCAGGAAGAGGCTCCCTGCTCACCATGCACGTACGGGCCCTGCATATTCAACTGCCAATATGGGTCTATAGGGCCCATTTGAGGGCCCGCCGGCTGCTGGAGGTCAGAATTAGGTACCTGGGCGTGACTTAGCTGGCTCGGCTGTTGCTGTTGCTGGCTCGGCTGTTGCTGTTGCTGGCTCGGTAGTTGCTGTTGCTGGCTCAGCTGCTGCTGCTGGGGACGAAGCTGTTGCTGCTGCTGAAGAGGAGCCACCGGAACTTGACCTGCCACATGTTGATCCTCGACCTGAATCCCTTGATGGTGTTGCACTGGAGCCTGCTGGGACGGCAACCTAGAATTTGCCCAAACTCTCCTTGGGCTACCATCAGAGCTCTGCCTTGGACAGTTCTCTTCCGTGTGGAAATACCACCAACATTTCCTGCACCAATCTGAGAACGGGGTGGCGATCTCCACTTTCCAAATCTCCCCACTCGGGGATTCGATCATCAAGTGATCTTCCACCCTGAACCTCACTTGTGGTTCCATATCCAGCTTTACATTCACTAACTTTGGCTTGGTTCTATCCGCCTCTGGGGGATGCATATATTTGACCCCACCAACCAAACCCTCCGCTGCTGAAGCTACATAATACATCGCCTCCAGAGGAACCCTCAATGCCACTATCCAAAAGTTGTTCTCTGCCTCCCTTAGCTTCAGCTCCTTCAGCTCCTGCTTCGTCATCCAGGGCTTAAGGGTCACTGTGTAGTCCTTGCCTTTTAGGTTCAGAGAGATCGTACCCTTCTGCGCAAGCCAAGTGGCCACTTCGGTCGCTTTTGCCACGTATGAGACTACATTAGGGCCTTCAAATTTTACTCTTCCCCTTCGCAGCTCTGGATTAAATAATCTTCTAGCTGCCCATCCATCTTCATAGGCCCTGATTAGGTCTTCCTTCACTCCTCTCGACAGCTCCCTGGCTTCATCTTGAAAAATAAAAATAACTGTTCGCTCTTTTAACCATTTCTCTTTTATTTCATCCAAAGAAGCGTTGACTTTGAATCTTTTCCCCCTAGCGTCAATCACCACCGCCCCCAAATTTGCCGCTAACTGAAACACACCATCGTCGTAGCACTGTCCGATCGATTGCCTTGTATGCTCCTCCATTTCCCAAAAATTAACTTGAACCTCGGGGGGGGGGGGTCCCCCCTCCTCAACCCCTTCTACCTCCATGTCGAGAAAAAAGTATAGGAGCCGACAACTAACAGAGACTGTGCCTGTCCTCAAAGCGTGAAGCAGCAGTAGCGAAAAAAAAAAACAGCAATAAGATCCTCGTATTACAGCCTACACCCAAGGGACTAGGACTAGGCTACAGCGAAGGAAAGGAGAAGTACCGGCAGGGATCATAACCGACCCACTCACGTGTCACTTTCGTCTAGTGACCAGATTGGAAGACTTCTCCGGGGCGCAATAGGCACAACAGAAAAGGCGCCATGCAAGGATACCAGAAAGTGCGAATCCATGTGTACGGCGTCACCAGATAAAAGAACCTGCCCTCATACCAATCCCTATTGAGGTCCGGAAACCCCGGAAGAACACTAACCACTTGAACCACCGGTCTATCACCCGACCTCCTTCACGCTCTGAGGGGGGCTGAACCACTCCCTATAGCTGAAAAAACAACCAACTCATCCAATCCACTTCGGGGAAACCTGGGAAGATGTCGCGATGACCAACAGTAGTACACATGAATCTGGGTGGAGAAGATAAGCTTGAGCGCCAACGTCCAAGAATTACTGAAAGGACTAAACAAACGAAACACAATAGCACACTGGGTTGACTCGAAAGGGAACCAAGCCGACAAGTGGCACCAGCCAAGGCTGGTATGGCGGTCCCTTCGTTCCTTGTCACGATGGCAAGGGTGACGACGAGTCAGGGCCTATCGTCCTCGGTAATACCGAGGAGTTTCGGCCGGCGCCGTTTCGGAGTGGCGCAGCAGTGCGCTATCCACCCAGCCGCAGCGTCCACCCGTTTGCCATCCAGCTCTCCACATGTTTGAATACAAGCACATAGCAACTCCGATTCTTTCTTTCTTTTTTTTCTCTTTTTTTTTTTTAACGAAGCAACTCGTATTCGATGTGGCACCAGAGCAGACCTGTCTTTTCTTTTTCTTTTTTGGGTCCGAGGAAACTTCGTCCATGAGGTCCACTCAGTTGTCCAAGGGAAGACGAGAGTTAAGACGAGGAGGGAGTGTTGGGTACTGAGGTCTTGAGGTCTTATAATAAGTCCTTGCCCCTGTGATAAGGGACATTGCTTTTGTTGGAGTCGTGTTCGTCCTTTTCAGTAAGGAGAGAAAGAGTATAGTTTTAGTATAGAAAATTCTAATAGCCGTATAGATAGTAGCTGTAGTAGGACTGTACAAGTGCTGAATAGTTGGAACTCTGTTTTCATTGAATTGTGTGGCTTTGCAGGCCGTGAGGGCGTTTTTATTTTTCCCAGAGTTGGGAAAGGTCAGAGCAGCCATCCGTCTCCGGCCATTTCTGCTTCTGGACTAAAATTCCCAAGGCCTGCACCAGAAACTGGGAGATGGTCCCAGAGGCTACTACTATTTTCCGGGTTGTTTGTGGAGGGATTCCCGGACCTGTCTCTTATACACATCTAGATGTGTATAAGAGACAGGAACCCAAACTGGGTACTGTTCCGAGTACTTGTTTCCGGGTTGTTTGTGGAGGGATTCCTGGCCTCCCCCTTCTTTTGTAGTGAAATGCAAAGTTGATTTGTAAAAAAAAAAAAAAAAAAAAAAAAAAAAGAGAGGGGGGAAAAGAGGGGGAAAAAAAAAAAAAAAAAAAAAAAAAAAAAAAAAAAAAAAAAAAAAAATAAAGGAAAAAAAAAAAAAAAAAAAAAAAAAATTTTTTTTTTTTTTTTCTCTTCTTTTTTTCATGTTCAAGGAAACGCAAAGTAGATCGTTAGATGTGGGGATTGGTCATAACCATACAACCTTAGTCGGCCAAACCTCTATCAAGAAAGTAGCAGATGGGACAGGCGATGGGATGCTGGGAGTAAGATATACTCAGACATGAGTGATTGAAATAAACTACTTTGAAAAAAAAAACGCCTTTGCCGGAAGTCCAGCTTGCTGGGACTCCGGCTTGCATACGCCCAGCTTTCCCAAAGGATTAGCGTCGGCGCTGGATCCAACAAGACTGTAAACCTACCGCTTAAGCCAATGAATGGCTCGTCTCTTGTGAACACAAGGTCGTTCTGTCTCGGCTGGGACGCAGACCCTATTCGCTGTTTTAGAGCTGGACCTTCGACCCGGCTAACGAAGACCGGCTGCCCCGGGGAGTTCTGGAACGAAGTCGAGAGACCAGGTCCGGCTGTTGGGTTCTTATTACATCGACTTCCACCTACAGTGCCATCAGCTGTCCCCGCTGAGGCCCCTCTCTAGTGGAGGACCGGATACTATGAGTAGGGAGGAGCACCTCCTACTTAGTCTAGTCAGTGGGCCCCCTTGTCAGAACGATATTTGAGAGAGGAGAGTACTAGGAGGCGAGAACCACACCTATCCGTTCTTTTATTTTTTAGCAATTATCTCGGATGTATTTATGACGTATAGGAACGTCCCTGGACATATCGGGTAACCAACTGTTATCGCCCCGCCATCACCCTCGGTGGTGTTTAACGGGTACGATAGTAGAGCGCGAACCCAAGGGCTCCCATATCCTTTTCTATCGTGGTGGTCTCTACAGCGGGGCCTTCTGTTTTTTTTGTTTTTTTGTTTTTTTTTTTCCGTCACAAAACCTCCCCACGCGAAAGACAGAGTGGTGGAGCCCGAATTCGCTCTTACTGATTCAGCGTTTACAGTAACATGCACCAAGCACAGGACACAGAAATGGACCCCTCCCCCACCCAAACACAGGGGATGCCTTGATCTGGCTTTGCCCCCTTCTGGGCTAATAGACCACGGGGTACCGGGGAACCTCTTAGTGAAACAGGACGTGGGGTAAACTCTTCCAAAGGAAAGGAAAGCGGGTGGGAAGGGAGGGGCAATCAGGAGAGGGGAAGCCGGGGGGGGRATGCKAGGGGGGARGGGGGTAGGAGCGCTCTAGGAGCCATGAGCGCAGGAAGAGGAGACAGAGGCAGRGRGGGDAGGGGAAGGGGGGRAGKAGGAGGCTATGGAAGAGGAGGTTTTGAACGCCAACCCACCTCGGGGAGAGTAGATTGGTTCCCTGTGGAAGAGAACGATTCCGGCAGTGACGAGGAGGATCATGAAGGAATGGAAGGCCAGGTTAATGGAGGGGGCTCGTCCAGTAGCTGCGATGAGGTGGAAGAGATCAGGAAGATGTTAGACAAATGCCTCGACCGCATGGTGATCCCGGATATGTCCAAATTTGCCAAGTTTGAAAAAAAGGGGAACACAGTTATCATGACAGTCCCCCCAGCGGTCGAAGAGGCGCATGTGGGATGGATGAAAGATAACGTTGTTGTAGTCTTTTTCCAGGGTAACTTCAAGTCGGTATCGGCGGATAGGAAGGAACAATGCATTAGGGGATTTGAGGACTCCATCCTCCCGCAAAGCCTCCACCACAAAGAGAGAGGCAGGGTTCACCAGGAAGGCCGTAATGCCGTGTCATACTTCCCGAGGGATAAGCAACTCATTGAAATGATGCTTAACATGAAGAGTCACAAAATTAAAATTGACAACACCACACACAAAATGATGTTCAAAAAATGGATGTCCCCAGCAGAGCTGGAGGCCGCCAAATCAGAACAAGAGGTGAGTAAAATCTGGATCATGGCGTTGCGAGTTCCCTGGCTGGCAGCTCCCTTCGTGCGCTCACAGCTTGAGTACGCAGTGGGGAAATTTGTCAAACAACACCCACCGGAGCGGTATGATGAATGTCCCAAACTTAACAACCTGAAATTCAATATCCCACGGGACAGGAAAGACCGAGTGCCCGGATTCCTTGATTGGCCTCAGGCAAATGGTAGAGTCATTTGTATACAAGTTGTCACACAGATGACAGATTGGTGTCCCAGGTGTCGGGAATACGGACATGCCACGGAAACATGCCCTCAAACGTTCGAAATCAACACTGTGCAGCAGAGACAGCTTAAGTTCGGGGCCGGGGGGGACTGAGGGCGGGCGCCGGCTGGGTACCCAGTCTTAACCAGCGATCGCAACATTCTCAACCCTCAACGTCGCGGGCAGCAGAACTGCACCCAGCATTCATCTTTGGTCAGACTGGTGGACAAGCTCGGGGGCAAACGCGAAGCCCCAGCTCTAGTATGGGAGTACAGGGAACCCAACAGATTCCTGGCCCCACACCAGGCCCGCTTCCAGTTCCCACACCAGGGCAGTCCCTGGTCACTTCGGAACCTGGGGGTGGTCAGATGATGCCAACGGCAATGCCACCAGTAGCAATGGCACTTGGGGCAACGGGAGCTACCAACCCTATGCATAAGACATTACACCCCAACTCGCAAAAAGATAATCCAGTTCATACCGACACGCAATGCCGACAGACAACAGTAGAGCCTCAAAAGGCGGCCTCAGTCATCACAGATGAGAAATCGTTCAGTCTTGGACCAAGTTCGACCCTTGGGAAAGGTCCGGCGCTCACACACCCGGCCCGCGGGAAGCACGAGGTAGAACGAAGCTCCCACAGCGCTTCCATACCTAGACGCAGACCACGAGCCAGCGAGATAACCAGGAGGGAATACCGGGGGAATCATGCCATGTTAGTTCGGGCAAGGTGCTCCAGAGTGAGGTAATGGAGGATAAAGACAGCAGCAGGGTCGAGGGGGGTATGAAAATCAACTCCGCCACTCAGGCTGCTCTTCCAAATGACATTGCAGACACAGGAAACAAGCACTCACACCCAGCCGTTCCCGGGCCCAAGGTTGGGGCCGTTACCAGGCCCATGGTTGGGGCCGGTCCCGGGCCCACGGTTGGGGCCCAAAGTGACCCAGACAAAACAAAAGAGCTGACCAGATCAACTGGTCCAGCGGAACTACCCTCTCCGAAAGACGATCCCCGGGGTTTAACCCCATCCACTAACAAGACAGCAGGTGATATAGTTCCTATCCCCAAGTTTGCAGAGGAGGGTACCGTGGGAACAGTAATCCCTGTTGCCCCGGGCCCTCGTGAGTCCACTATGGTAGTTGAGCCAACGGTACCGGAGGGACAGGAGGCAATTCCCAACATATCGGTAGGGCCGCTTGGTGACTCAGAAGGCTCCACCGATGAAGATTGTCCCTCCAAAGAAAAGAGGGGGAGGACACTCTCCCCGGGGAAGGAAAGGAGACAGAGAAAACTTGGGCCAACCAGCAAAATACCGGGTTCCAAATATCTGGTCCCCCTGATATGCAGGAAAACCCCGGAAGGGATTGTCTTCCTCGCATACAGCATGGGCACTAATATAAAACTAATCACTCCAAAGCCGGTCGACAGCAGCCCGTCACAGGCTGAGATGCTAGCAAAAGTCAAGAATTACCGGGAAGGAATGCCCCAGTCAGATCTGTTCCTGGTATGGGGACCAGGAGAATTCAAAGGACTGGCAATACACACAGTAGGGTCCAGCTGTTTGTCGCCCCGTTCGATGTCCGGCCCAGTGAATCAGACCTGGAACAGCTCGCTCAAAGCATGGGGGTGTGGTGCCCGCTCGAGTGGGCGAAAGATGAAAATCTCCTGCACGCCAACATGGTTTATACCGCGGAAGGGATCTCAGGAGACGTGTTGGTTGAATATAACCAGCAGCTGTCAGCGGACACAAACCTATTCTCTGCCTATTTTGACAGAATTTTGTCTTCACCTTGGCAAGGTAAGGGAGATACTGCAGATGCAGCAGAGGACAGGAAAAGGAAAACCACACTCACCACACTTCAGTCAAGCACAATCACAAGAGCAGCCTTAGTGGTGACGGTTGGTACAGCAGAGGGGGAGACTGTATCCACGTTCCCCCCAAATGACCTGACCCTTATCCAAGAAGCAAGGGGTGCAGGTCTTAATGAATAAACTCAGGGTAGCCTCCTGGAACGTCAGAGGCCTTGGGGATGCGAATGGTAAATTTAAATGGGCAAGGCTTAAGACATGGATTCATCAAAAAGGAATCCATGTTATGTTGCTCCAGGAGACTAAATTAAATGAAATTAAAATACAGGAAGCAAAGTGGAAATGGCAGGGTCCCCAGTTTTGGGCCCCTGCAGATGGTACCAAAGGGGGAACCGAGATCCTGTTTCACAAGGATCTCAATATGACCATCCTAGATGAGTTCTCTGACTCTCTAGGACGGTGGTCTTGGGCGTCAATCTGCATCGAGAATATTGATTGGACCTTCGCATCAGCTTACGCTCCGGTAGACAGATGGGAGAAAATCCAGTTTTTTTACATCCTTCCGAAGGTCTTACCAAATAACGGAAATTTGGTGGTGGGGGGAGATTGGAACACAATCCTTGATCCTGCCCTAGACTCCTCCGCCACAGACCCCATCAGGAATGACACCATGGCATTGTTGGATATGGTAAAAAGTATGGAGCTGGTAGACCCTTTTAGGCAGTTACATCCTCAAACGGCAAAATTTACATGGGTTTCCCACACACCCAGAGAGGACAAAACCTATACCAAACTTAGAATGAATTTTCTTTTGGTAAGGGATAAGGCAGCGGACTGGGCCATGGAGGTCTCCATGCCGTTCGAGTCATTATCATACCATAGACCGGTGATGGTCTCCTTTGTCCCGGATGGCCATATCACTCGAGGCAAGGGCTACTACAGATTGAACACACAAACACTGCAGGACAAGGGGCTAGTGACCTCAATCAGATGAGTGCGGACTTGAGCTTTGCCTCCCGAATCAAAGCATCCAATAAGATTTTTTTATGATTCTGACTCGGACTGGCTGGAAGCCTCAAACAAGATGGCAGCAGCGGACTTGAGCTTTGCCTCCCGAATCAAGATTTTTNAAGGAACTAAGATTTTTTTATGATTCTGACTCGGACTGGCTGGAAGCCTCAAACAAGATGGCAGCAGCGGACTTGAGCTTTGCCTCCCGAATCAAAGCATCCAATAAGCGGAAAGAGGAGGATCTTTGTGCTCAAAATATTGAATGGGCTGAAAACAGAATGGATATGGAACCACATAACAGTAGTTGGTGGCTCTCTTACAGGAACCAATGGAAAGACAAAATGGAATACATCCAGATTGAAAAGGAGAAAGTTTGGGCCGAACGGGCTAAGATAAAATGGCTGGACGTTGGGGACAGGATGTCTAAAGAGAATTTCAGAAGGCTATCCAAAAGAACGGGGTCGTCGTTAATTGTAGAATTGGATCACCCGTTCGATTCTTTCGAGCCCAGGGCCCGGGATACCAAGACCATCTTGGAATAGTCTAAGATTATATTTTATGAATATCCTAACCTCCACTAGACCAATCTGTCCGGCCCCGGGTGATGATGAATTACAAGCGACCCTCTGGCACTCCTTTGAGGCTCGCCTGCCTAGCCACGGTAGATTGGATCTCGATAGACCCATCACCATAGAAGAACTTAATCACACCCTGAAAGCATGCAAAAGGGGAAATGCCCGGGCAGTGACGGGCTTTCGGTAGAGTATTATGGCTGTTTTTGGAAAATCTTGGGGCCAGTACTTGTAGATATTTTCAACAGCATGTTAATGGGCCAAGATTTGGGGAAGGATATGAGATTGGGTATTATCTCACTGCTATACAAGAAGGGGGACAAGAGAAATATACACAACTGGCGCCCTGTCTCTCTACTTAACACATCCTATAAGTTCATGGCTAAGACCTTGGCCAACAGGCTCAAGCGGTACCTGCCGGGTTTGGTGGAGGAGGAACAGGCTGGTTTTGTCGAAGGAAGAAACATACTTAACAACGTCATGCTAACAATGGAAGCCTTAGAGACCATGAGGGAGGACCAACCGGATGTAGTGGCCGTCCTCCTGGACTTGGAAAAAGCGTACGATAGGGTTAATTGGCAATTCGTGCTAGATACCCTTCACTTGGCCCGATTTGGGGAATCATTTTGCTCATGGGTGAAGGCGTTCTACACTAAAGGGGTGGGGAAAGTAATGGTGAATGGGGAGATCTCTAGTTCCTTCCCACTTAGTCGCTCCCTGCGGCAAGGGTGCACGCTGGCCCCTTTGTTGTTTGTCATCCAGATGGAAGTACTTTTATCATCGATTAGGAAAAACCCAGATATTCGAGGCCTACGTCTTCCCGATGGGCAGGAGTGTAAAGCTTCGGCCATGGCCGACGACCTCTTTGCTTTGTCAGCCAATTCCAAAGATTCTTTAGGTGCTCTCAAAACCTGTCTCAATCTCTACTCAAAATTCTCGGAAGCCCTAGTTAACTGGCCAAAGTCTACCGCAATTGCCATGGATGGGACTCAGTTGTCTATGGATTGGGGCTTGAAATGCTTACCTGTGGGGGAGTGTGAGCGTTTCTTGGGAGTGCAGGTGAGCCTCTTGGGCAGCAAGAAGACAACCAGCAATCTGGTGGAAAGAGTGGTAATCTCCAAGATCGGCAAAGTGGCAACCGTCAAGGGTACATCTATTTTTGGTAGGGCGTTGTTTTTGAACGTGGCAGTCTTCTCGCAGATATGGTACCCCCGAGCGATGAGGAGTTTAGAACCCAAGGCTTATGGCAAGATCAGATCGGTGGCTACAAGGTATCTATGGAAAGCAACGGATGACAAGGCAGTGGGGTATATTGCCAAACTTGCATGGAAAAAGGTAGTAGGGAGTAAATCAGATTGGGGTCTAGGAATTAAAGATCCGGAAATGCAGGTGAACGCACTGCTGGCCAGGTGGGTGTTGAAGCTACTTTATGCAGAAACAGGCCATCCGTGGGTGGAGCTGGCGGTGGCTATTCTCATGAAGGAGTGGGGCCTATGTAGGAGAGAGGATGTGTGGTTGGCCCTGCTCACACCCTCCTTAGTGAAAGGACCTATTAATTCCCCAGTCTGGAGGGACATTCTTCGGGCTTGGTCCGAACTCATGCCGGTGCAGCTCCAAGAACCACGAACCAGGGAGGAGATTCTGACCCAGCACCTCTTTGAAAACAATCTTATTTGCGACGACACTGGGATCCCCTGGTCCGCCAGTGATGGCACCGGGCAGTTTGGCAAGAGTTGGATCCAGAGAGGTGTCGCACGGGTATCAGATCTATGGAACACGGATCTAACGCAGTGGAGATCTGCAACCGAACTCAGAACTAAGTTGCACCATCTGCGGGCAGTGCCGGCAAGGCTCGATGGATTACTGTCCAGCATCCCACAAGCATGGAAGAACACTCTCGAAGATCCTGGTCCGGCATACGAGGGCCAGTGGGTGGTGCAATGTGGTAGCACAGTTCCCGCAGAAGTATGGAAGGTCCTGGCCTACTTGGATCAGGAGCAGGCAGCGGTCACCTCGTTCTCAATCTCTGAAGAGGGTCAGGAAGCTAGCCGGTGGTTGAAGGAGAATGAGGACAAGGTGGTTCCAATGCAGCAGGTTGCCTCTATCTTGGTCAGCTCCAAGGAAAAACCCAACAATGAAATGGTACATTACTGCCCCATGGGAGTAATACCGGTTAATACGTTGAGGGTGAATCCCTCACACTGGGGTTGGCAACTACTTGAACCTCCCAGGGTTAGGAACTTGTTGGAATATTCTCCTACAGTTGGGTATCAAACTCAAAGCAAGTCTTGGTCCCTACCGTTAGGTGTGAGGAATCGGTGGCCAATGGAAGCTAAGGACAGAGCACAGCAGAAGGGTCCTATTTCGTCAACATCCCTAAGGAGGCTGTGGAGAAACCTCAGACGGGTTTCTTCCGCCAAAATGGGTAGTTTGATGTGGTTGCAGTCCCACAGGATTGTGCCTACAGCAACCTGGCTCAGGGCAAATAGGGTACCATTGGACACTCAGTGCCGTAGATGCAGACTTGCAGAAGAAACAGCCACGCACCTGTGGTGGGACTGCATTGAGTCCAAAAGGATATGGGTATGGTGGGCCGGTCTTTGGCTTGCTCAGGTCGAGGACCTGGTCCAATGGGATGAATGCTTTGTGGTCGAAGGCATCCTGCATAATGCAGAAGCAATAGGCCGGGGGTGGGAGTATGTAGCCATAGCATGCAGGGCGGCCATCATGCAGGTTATATGGAAACTGAGAAATGATAGTGTTCAAGTCCAAATTCTACTCGGACAGGGACATCAAGAATATGATCCTGGAGGGGGTACGGTCCTTGGTATGGGCAGATTGGAGACACACTGGAAGAGCTTGTAGCCGGAAAGCAGCCAGGGACCGCGTCTTTCGCAGCTGGGGTCAGAGAGTTAGATTCCTTAAGTTAAAGGCCACGGGCATTGTGTTGGAACCCTGGTTGTTGGGGCCCAGACCTCCGTGAGTAGTCTATAGGCATTTTGGTACCTATCCCGACAGTGGGGTCACTATTCAATCATGCCCRYTGTGAATCTACTCTCATTTATTAGGCGCTGGAAAGGGCCTGGGGGATATACTGTAGTCTAGGCTGTTGTTATATCCTCCAGTGGGTATAGCTCTTCGAATACTTAAGAACTGTCATCTCACTCTTTCTGTTTTTTGTTCTGGATAGGGCTTAGATTTCAAGGATTGATTTTGCACCAACAAGGTGAGAGGCCTGCCGCATCTGGCACAGCAGAAGAGTAAGTTGGAAGAAGGTGTTGACGTTGATTATATGATTGATCTGTAAGGGACGCTGGACCCGGTTTCCAGCAGGTGCAGCTCCCCACGAATAGACCGGAGCCATCGTTCAGTGCCCGTCCCTATCACTTGGGGCTCTTATACCCAAGAGGCAGGCGCTGAGGCCAACCTGATGTTAAAGAGGAAAAAAAAAAAAAAAAAAAAAAAAAGAAGTTTGTTAAAAAAAAAAAAAAAAAAAAAAAAAAAAAAAAATAAATTTTTAAAAAAAAAAAAAAAAAAAAAAAAGGTTGTCCGACAGCATCAATGCTGTATAGAGGAGCGGGCCCCAGGGTGAGGCTGATTTGTCTTAGAATGTATACAGAAGATAATCCGGGCAGATACATTTCGCCCTATTTTCCTGTTTTTCTTGTCTTTTTGTTTTCCCCCTCTTTTCCTCCTTGCTGCCCCCGTTGTTTTTTTGTGTTTGGGCCTCGCCACACCACTGTCGAAAAGAAAAAAGCACGAGTGCATCTTCCCCCCAAAATGGCCAGATGCATTTGTTGCTATTCATAGGAACGGATGCATCTTTCCAGTTTCTGTGGCGAGATGCATCTATTGCTAATAATTTGCTATTCAGAGAAACGGATGCATCTTTCCACTTTTTGTGGGAACATGCACTTGAACGTTTTTCGTTTGCACAGTGGTGGCGCGAGGCCCTTTCTTTCTTCCGAATTGTGACTTTAAATTGATACTAGACTAGATGACCCGTTGCGGCTTCCCACGCAAAAAACAGATAAGGAAAAAACTTAAGCACAAAAGAAGAGAAAGAAGCATAAGGAACTGCCCTATCATATGCCGCTTCTTTGACAATAAGAAGACATGATATTAAATTATTTTTTCTGGGCCACGGAGGGGTCGTACGGGTAAGCTTGCTTGCCTGACCCTTTCAGTGTTGCCTCTGTATTGCACTGCAGCAGAGTGCGGCGCAGCCCTTTCCCCTCCACGGGAAAAAAAAAAAAAAAAAAAAAAAAGAACAAGAAGAGCCTGAGAGCAGACGTAAGCCCGCGTGCAAGAAAATAGGAGCGAATACCACCCAACTTTTTCTTTTTCTTTTTCTTTTTCTTTTTCTTTTTCTTTTTCCTTATCTTTCAGTGTTTTGATTGGGTAGCCTTTACCTTTGCAGCATCGTTTTTTTTTGTTTTGTGCTGCGCAACAACTCTGAACCTTTTCTGAGAAAACCCTAACCCATTCCCAAGAGAGAAAAAAAAAAAGAAAAAAAAAAAAAAAGAAAAGAAAACCCTAACCCCTGTCCCGTTGATGTTTTCGCTAAAGATTTCATATTCAGACTTTGTTCGCTGTGTTCGCTGAATAGGGCCCTCGCTGCACTACTCTCGACATGCAGAAAAGACAAAAAAAAAAAAAAACATGGCCGTGTATCTTTCCATATTCTAGCGGAAGATTTCACTCTCCTTTTGCACATTTCGAGAGTAACGCAGCGAGGCCCTACAGTCTTCCCTTCCCCGAATACAACGTACGGTCATTATAGCTGAATTTGGTGTATCTTTCAGTCTACATTCCGCTATAATGACCGTACGTTGTATTCGGGGGAAAACTGTAGGTTTGTGATCAACCGATCTTGCTCTTGCATGTATGTATTAGCGAAGTGCTTACTTGTGGAGTTTTGAAGCTATGTGTGAGCTAGTGAATGGGCGTGCGGGTGAGTCGCAGTTTGGTGGGCGCGGATGATGTCATTGAATGGGCGTGTCATTGGCGGCCGGGGAAGTTGCTGGAAGTAGCTTCCAACAACAAGAGGAGTGGCAGCCACTGATGTTAAGCATGTGGGTTTTGCATTCGATGAATGAAACAATAAGCATTCAATCAAAAAAAAAAAAAAAAAAAAAAAAAACATTTAATCAGCATTCAATCTGCTTGGCAGAGATGCTCTGCGGGTGGGGGGAACTTGTCGGGAGTAGCATTGACATAGGAGGGAGCCATAATGCTGGGCGTGCACCTTGGGAACATTTCCTGGAACGCAAAAGGCAAAGAAGAAACAAAGTAGCCCGTGTCAGACTCACATAATGGACAGCTTGGGACAGTCCCCCCCCTTCTCTCTCTCTCTCTCTCTCTCTCTCTCTCTCTCTCTCTCTCTCTCTCTCTCTC